GTTACCATTTTTTCCCCTGGGATTCTAGTCCCTATTGGTTGTGCTTGATTTCTGTTTTCTGGTCGGATCAGTTGCCTTGAAAAAGGTGAAGAAAGTCAAATGGGCATTGACTGGTTTTCCTTCGGTCATAAAAAAATTTTTTTGTTTGGAAATTTCAAATTTACAGAAGTCACAAATACAGGAGAATCTGGATAAATGAAATACAAGTAACCTTTGTATAATTTTTATTTTGTATTTCATTTATCCAGATTCTCCTGTTGTTGACATTTACCTCATTTGGTTTATCATTTGCAATTCTCTCTCTATATGTATATCTCTCTCTATAATTTCTTCCTGTACCATAAAGAATAATGTTCTAACGTACATTCATGTATAGCAAAAGCTATGAACTTCAGTCAACTTAAAATTGATATAATACTCTCATTAAACTGTTGTTCATATTCCAGTTTTCTCTGGTGACCCAATAGTGTCCTTAATAGCACTTTTCTCTCCTTTGTCTCTTAGCAGTTGTCTGCCTCAAGCAGTAGGCCCACGCTCTCTTTGTATTTGCTTGATATAAGCTTACAGAGTTCTTGTCTTGTTTTTCACAATGTTCAGCTTCTTTCTGGCTGTCACTTTTCCTGAAACTATTATCACAGTCCATGCCAATTTTTTTAATATTAATTATTTTTCCTGGTTAGGTCTCTTTCCCTCCCTCCTCTCCTCCAGCACCCCCTCCCCACACCGGTGGGGGTCGGGGGGGTTGGGGGGCATGTTTCAGAGATCAGACTCTTTGGGAAATGTCCTACATAGCCACCTTGGGTTCTTTTTTCCTCCTGTGTATTAGTTGCCATTGTGCTGTAAGAGCTGTATTTGAATAACCTACAGTTTTTTAAGTCAAGGAACTAATTACATACGAAAGGTTCTGGGGTGTGGTAAGGGGACTGATTAGAAGCTTGAAGTAGCAAGCCTCAGATTTTTCTAGATTAGTGCCTCTCAGACTTTAATGTGCACACAAATCTCCTGGGGATCCTGTTAAAATGCAGGTTCTGATTCAGTAGGTCTGGAGTGGGGCCCAAGATACATTTTTAATGAGTTCCTGGAGCAGCAAGGTCCTAGAGAAGTTTTAAGACCTGGATGATTTAGATCCCAAGGTATTGACCTCTGGAACCCGAGATGGCTTGTCTGTAGTTGATGGTCTTACAGGAATTTGAACAAAAGAGAGGTGTCAAGAACATGAAGACAAGAAGATGTAAAGTCCTGAGTATTTAAAAAAAAAAAAAAAAAAGTAGGGAATGGTGTGTTACAAAGGATAAAGCAAGGAATCAGAAAGAATTGGGTCCCACTCTGTCACTAATTAGCTGACAAACTCACTACAAACACTTGCCCTTTAAGCGTTGGTTTCCTTTTGTTAAGATGGGGTAATAATACCCCCTTCTTAGGATGCAGGGAAGATTATTTATCTAAAGTGCTTCTGACACAGTATCTGGCATATACTAGATGTGCAGCATGTGGAAGCTGCTATTAGTGAATGGTCGGAGCTTGACTGCACCTGTTCCAGACTGGAGAACAGATGATTGACCATGAACTCTGAGCACTTAAGGAAGTGGAGTTCATTAGTGGCCATTGTGGGTTGTCATGCCATTTTCTTTTTAGACAGGCTTATTATCAGATTAGAGGAGTGTTACAGACATAATCGCTAGCTTTGACACAGGAATTTGACAAAGCCTCAAGATATACCTTTGTGGGCATGTCAAAAAAAAATTGTAGGTTAGTTGAGGTAGATGGATTTGTGGGTGTTAGAACAGATGTATCAACACAGTCATGAATACAGGTTGTTGTAAATGAGAAAGGTGGTCTACACTGGCACCCATATTGCTTTTTGACTCTTTCAAATACACTATTTTAAAATCTTGGGTAAAGACGTAGTTACTGTGGCCCATATTTATCCTCCTTGATGCCCCCCTGACACAAGTCCTTTGGGCCAGCCATCTCCTTGAGCGTTTTTCTGCATCCTGCTTAATGCTGTGTTTCCCTGACAACTCTTGGAGCTCTGCTGTGCCACCCTTCCTAGGATTAACAAACTGCCCTTTATCTTGTTTGTCTCTGGCGAACGCTCCTGCCAACTTTTGCCTCCGCTGAAGGTTTTTTCCTTCAGGATGTCACTTTCTCAAGTGGAGGCTGCATGTTCTCCCAGCCTTATCTACCTCAGGGTCATTCTTTTTGTTGTTGTTACCAATTCCCCCGTCCTTTCCCTTTTCTGAAGATCTCAATATGTGTTTTCTGTTTGTTTTAACCCCAGGCCCACTTGTCACTGTGGGTCCCTTTAACGTCCACGTGAATGACCTATCCAGTATTTTAGCCTCCACACAGTCCACCTCAACCACCTGTGGTCGCACACCCTGGACCGCACCGTCCTCAGGACTTTGGACTTCACTGTTCCCCTCTTCCTGTTTCTCCTGTCTGCCCCTCCCCTCCTCTGGTAGCTGTCAGCACATGGCCATTGCTGCTTCTCCATTTGCTTCCAGCATCTTGACTCTCTCCTGTCTTTCACCTGTAATGCATGACCCCTTCTTCATCTCTGTTGCTGGGACCATCAACCCTGTTGTCTCATTTCCTCCTTCACACCCTCTTTGGGAAAAACCCGCAGCCCTGTATGGGTGCAGTGTCCACCCAGGTTCCCGACGCTGCTGGAGAGAGTCACCCAAGTCTGATTTAATACTCAGTCCCAGCCGGGCACTGGGTACCGGCACTGTCCTCCCCAGTGTCCCTGCTCAGCCTCCTTGGCTGTCCTCATGGCAGCTCCCCAGTATCTCCCACTTACCTTCAGGATAAAATCTAAACACCCTAATTTGGTTTTCGAAGCTCTCTGTGATGTGATTGTTACCTCATCATTCACCGCTCTAACCTTGTTTCCGTAAAACGTGAAGAAAGGTGAGGCCCTCTTAGGGCAATGGTACCACTTTTAAGACCAATACATGTGATATGTTAGTTTTCACAGTGCTTTTTTTTTTTTTTGACACGTCTTGCAGCAGCAGGTAGGAGCCTGGAATAAATCTTCACATCTCCTGCCCTCTCAGGGCGTGAATTCCAGGGGCTTGGGCTCGGTGTTTCATTGAGGTAGGGGTTTGTCAGGAGTATTTGAGAAATTTGACAAAAGTATTTCTGATGGGTGTCAGAATCTAAGCGTTGAGGGACACTTAGTTTCAGCATACCTGTGCATATTCAGTGCCTGTGCTTGGGAAACTGCTTTGAAAGTCCTAGTTTTAAAAGAATGTTTCCTTAAGAAAGGAAGTCATAAACTAAGTAATAAACTCCTTGCTGAAGATGGTAAAGCTCCCCCCTCCCCAGCACACATATATGTTAGACTGGCTAGATTTAAAAAACCAACCCTACTTAGTGTTGGCCAGCATGTGGAGGGACTGAAATTCATCAATGCTGGTGGGAGGGTAAAATGGTACATCTGCTTTGGAGAACAGTAGGACAGTTTCTTTAAAAATCAAGGATAAATAAACACAATAAAATAAACACATCCACACTGTTCCCTGCATTTAAAAAAAAAAAATTGATACACCTACCTTATTTTGAGCTGAGAGGGAGGTGGTTGGCCAACGGAGAGCAGGTTGGTCTGATCTTGCACATACCCTCTGTCATGAATACCCTGAAAGAATGCTTTCACTTTGATTTCATGCTTAGAGAGGTTTATTCCTGCCTCAGGAGGCTCACCACAGCCCCAGCCAGACATTCAGGCTGACTTTCAGGCTGACTTGGACCCTGAAAGAAAACCAGCTTTGGTGACCTGTGTCTCACTCAGGTACTGGTGAGTAATTATGAGGTAGAGCCAGTCACAGCCACCGTTTATTGAGCACTTTCATATGTGAACGCATTATTTTGGTTTCACCTCACAGCCTTTTTGAGGGGGATGTTTTCCCCTTTCTCCAGATGAAAAAACAAAATCAGATTAATATGGCTTCTTTCTTACCTAGCTTTGGTGCCACTATAGCTCCAGGGCCAAAGCCCTCTTCCACCCCCTCCTCATGGATAAAAGGGTGTTTTGCTTTGCTTTGGATTCCTTATTTCCCCAAGGCCAAGTGTGGGAAAATGCTGCTCTCCCTTGCCGTCCTCTTTACCTCCCTTATCTTTCCTGGCCTCTGCTTCACTCTTTTTTGATGTTTAATATTTAAATATTGTGCACTGGGTACTGCTGTGCTGAGCACTCCATCTGCTGTCTTAATTATTGAACCCTCCTGACAATCTTATGAAATAGTTGGTATTCCACCCAAGATGCCATGAGAAAATGGAGACTCAGAGAGCTTCCCCGAGCACGCAGCCATATAAAGGTGCGTCAGACCCAGAGTTTCACCCCAAGATTGTCGTAAGCCAGAGCCGGCTTAACCACAGCATCACTCTGCTTCCATCCTAAATGTGTGAAGTCCAAGGGTGCATAGAAGAGAATCTGCATATGCTAGAATTTTGCATAAAGGAATCTCTTAGATGAGGTGGTATGTCATGCTCTACCAGACTTCTGGGATGTGCCATGAAGTTCTGTATTTTAGCTATGTAGTGTTAGAAAGGTGGGAGTTCCTCTAATAAACATAGTAAGGAAGGAGTATGGTTTGGGCTTCCTAATTGTGCTGAAGGCATCTCCTATGGCAACACGGGCATGTGTGTCCAGACATTAATAGCAGTTGTGACCAGGGTCCCCAGTGGTACAGGTTCCCAGATGCTGGCCCTGACCCGCAAGCCTGGGTGGCAGAGAGCAGGAGTTTTGCTGCTTCTGTTGCAGCAGGAACTTGGGTCTTCAGAATGCCATCCTGTCCCTTCCGCTCATGGACCCCGGGTGTCTTGTCTGCTCGTTACACTCTTAACTGCGGCTCTGTCATGCTTTCGGTGGTCGTGGCTTGGTCCATCTTGCTGGGTGGCTGTGGGAGGGAAAGGCAAGGGCTCTTGGCTGGAAAGAAAACTAAGAGGTCATGAGACTTCCTTTTTATTTCCTCCCTTTTTTTTTTCTCTCTTCCTAGTATTGAGCATGCTCCACAATCCATTGGGCAGTGTCCTGGGGAAACCCCCCTTGAGCTTCCTGCCTCTGGACCCCCTTGGATCTGACTTGGTGGACAAGTTTCCAGCACCCTCCGTTAGAGGATCCCGCCTGGACACCCGGCCCATCCTGGACTCCCGTTCTAGCAGCCCCTCTGACTCAGACACCAGTGGCTTCAGCTCTGGATCAGATCATCTCTCAGATTTGATTGTATGTAACTTGCTGCAGAGTGGCGTGGGGAGAGCACGTGAGCTGGAGGTGGGATGCATGCCCACTAGAATGCAGGCCGCGAGGTGGCATGATGGGAGGTGTGGAGACATGTATAGAGCTTTCCATCCTCGACAGAATAGAGGGTGCCTCGTATACCCATTATGTGCATTGAGCAGTACATTTCGGGACCTGACTTGAGGACTCTACAGGTTGCTCCAAGAGCCCTTGGGAAAGTTAGTTTCAAAAATAAATATGGGAGTCCTGGCAGTGTTCTGTTTCTTGACCTCCATGGGTGTTTTCTTAGCCTTTAAACAATATCATTTATGTACCTTTATGTATGATACCTCAAATATTTTAACTGATGATTTTAAGAATCACAAGTTAGTAATCAGTGGGTCTAGGGTTTTAATCCAGATCTGACTCCAGCTCTTTTTCAGAGGCCATGACGAATCCATGAAATAATGTCTCAGAGTTAATCTTTGCATCTCCTGCTCTGCATCTACAGCCACGTGTGACATGTGTGGCACTCGTGCTAAAGGGAGTTGGAAAGTGGAGTACGATAGATGAGGAATAGGGGATATTAGAAGTAAATATATAGGAATGGCAGGGAGAAATCATCCTAAAGTAAAATTCAATTTAAGGTGCCTTCTGAGCCTTCTTCTCTACTACCAAAGCCACTGAGCTGACTGTTCAATGAATATAATGGCTATTTTCCTTCCCCCTTCTCTTCCGTATCCAAGACTGGCAACGCTGGTTGTTGCCACGTCCCATTCATAACATGACCTCTTAGGGCCCACCTTGCCTCCCGCCAGTCTGTCCTAGGATATGAAAGCTGGCATTGGTGTCCCCACTACTCCCTGGTTTTATCTGTTCAGGATGTGTTTCCAGAAAGGTAACTACAAGCAGGGCTCCTTTGATTCTCTGGGCTGCAGTTTTTATTCCCCTATAAAATGGGATTAGATGGGATGCTTATATATATATATATTTTTTTTTTATAATTCTTTTCATTACTTTATATGGGCCTTAGTCTTGGAAATTTGCCTCATAACCAGCTTTAATGTTTTGGGATTTCGTTTAAAGAACTTTTCTCTGATTCCCACCCCAAAGGTTAATTGATGAAGGGGTATGAACAGACAAGTCACAGAAGAGGAAATAGAGGCAGTATTTGAACTTACAGGAAATATTCTATTGAGTGATTATTTTAGTTTATTTTTTGATAATGTGGTATCATTTCTACCCACTTAAGTTAGTAGAATTTAGAGCCTTGACACAAGCTTGTTGTTTTTAGAAACTTGTGTTCTCATATATTTCTAATAGAACACAGAACCTTCATAGAAAGCATTTTGGCATTCTACGTCTAGGAATCTGACCAGAGAACACACAAAATATGAAGAAGCTACGTTTTATTTAAATGTTTTTTAAATAAAGTTTAAAGCTTTTATTTATAATCCTGAAAACTTGCAAAGTATCTAAATGTTTAACAGTAGGGGGAATAGGTCAGTGGAGTGTAGCTTGTTCCCGAAATAGAATATCATAAATTAATTAAAAATGGTTATGAAGACTGGCAACGTGGAGAAAAAGACTGAACTGGGGAGAAAAGAATTTGTTTAAATTATGGTATAAGGACAGCTATTCTTAAGAACGCATAGGAAGAAAGTCTAAACGAAAATATATCAAATATTGGTATTTTTCATAATTTCTATAGTGTGATTATTACTTCTGTAACAACTGTCCTTTAAAAACCTATCTTCCTTTTTTCTTCCCTAGTCAAGCCTCCGAATTTCTCCTCCCCTGCCCTTCCTGTCTCTGACGGGGGGTGGTCCCAGAGACCCTTTAAAGATGGGGGTTGGGTCCCGGCTGGACCAAGAGCAAGCTGCTCTGGCTGCAGTCACGCCCTCCCCAACCAGCGCATCAAAGAGATGGCCAGGAGCTTCTGTGTGGCCGTCCTGGGACCTCCTTGAAGCCCCCAAAGACCCCTTCAGCATAGAGAGAGAGGCCAGGCTACACAGGCAAGCTGCAGGTGAGTGTGGCTGTGGGCCTGCTGGGGGCCTGGGCCCTCATTCTCGGGCAGTGAATAAAAGTGACCTTAGTTCACAGACTGGGGAACTGTCCACAAGAGGACTTGACTGCATGGTGACGTCTGCTTCTGCACAGAGTGGTCTATTCTGAGGAGTGAGTGCTAATGCGGACACACTCGGTAACCTTTTTGAGGCTGAGCAGAGAGGAACAATAGATAATCTGGCACACTGGGTTGTGCCTATTAGGGGTCGGATCCATCTCTGACTTCTGCTCTTCTGTGGAGATTGTGCACTGCTCTCGCTTTTGATTCTTTTCACAGGTGCATGTGTTCAAGAGAAACCCTGGAAATGGTGCCTAGAATTTTGTCTCCCTCCCCCTTTCTAATTCAAAGACATGTCACGCACAACCCACGCTGGAGCTTTCTTCCCCAGGGCTGTCTGATTGGTATACACAGGGATGCACTGGGGGGGGGGGTGGGTGGTCCATTTGTCAACCTCCAAGGTAAGGGATGTCCCCAGGTGTACTGGTCTCTCAGGAACCCTTAGATTCTGTCGTTTAAGTTACCTTAAAATCCATTATTAAATCTGTTCATCTTATACCAGTACTCGGAAGCAAATGAGCTGTATATGTCATTGTTTACTAGTGCTTCAGGGAGATGCTCACTGACCACTATTGTAAGGTTCTGGAATTGATTAAATGAATGTTCAGTTTCTCCATTCCCTTTGTTTCCATAGGTTTCAATATGTCTGTCTTTTCTACTCACAGAGCTAGACCTGATCTCATTCTCCCTAGCAGTGCTCCTGCCCTATTTTAATGGTTTTGGCAATCTGTGTTTGTACTTTCTCTGTTGCCATTGTTTTCCTGTGAAATGACTTTACTGTGCTTTTGGATGAGGCCATTATATCGACTTCTGTTTTTGTTTGCAAAATATTGCTGATGGTGCCTAATTTCTTGCTGTAGCAACACATTGGGCCTATGCCTTTTAGAGAATGACCTTCCATGTTATTGTCCTGAATGAAAATGGTGGTTCATTACATTAGCTGTCTGCTCCAGTGCTGGAGGAGGAGAGTAAAATAGGCGAGGACTAGCCAGTTCCCACTAAGGTCAGTCTCTGATCTGGAAGGGCACGGACTGAGTGGGGACAGGATTAAAGACCGATACGATAGAAGGCCCGGTGGTGTCTCTTTAGGTACCATAACGATAGCTTTGGAAATGATGGGGAATTGTTCTGACTTGGAACAGTTGTGACATTCTTATCTTGGGTTGCTGGTGCTGGTTTTTATTGGCAATGTCCTAACTTCTGTGAGTGATGAGTTCAGGGAAACAGTATAATGTTCCTTATTTGAACATTTGGGGAGAAGGTCCATTTGGACCAGTAAGCATTTAGGATGTTGTATGAAAAATTGCCCTGTTTACTTTCAAGTACAGGCATACCTTGTTTTATTGAGCTTCACTTTATTGCACTTCACAAATGCACTTCACTGCATTTTTAAAAAAATTTTTATTTTATTTTGGAGTGTAGTTGATTTACAATGTTGTATTAGTTTCAGGTGTACAGCAAAGTGATTCCGTTATACATGCACATGTATCTATTCTTTTTCAAATTCTTTTCCCATTTAGGTTATTACAGAATATTGAGCAGAGTCCCCTGTGCTATATAGTAGGTCCTTGTTGGTTATCTGTTTTAAATATAGCAATGTGTACATGTCAGTCCCAAACTCCCAATCTATTGATACTGCATTTTGGTTTTTTTATATACAAATTGGAGGTTTGTGGCAACCCTGTGTTGTCAGATGATGGTTGGCGATTTTTAGCCATAAAGTATTTTTAAATTAAGGTAGGTACATTGTTTTTTTTAGGCATAATGCTATTGCACACTTAATAGACTACAGTATAGTGTAAATGTAACTTTTATATGCACTGGAAAACCAGAAGATTTGTGTGACTAGCTTTATTGCAATATTCATTTTATTGTGGTGATTTGGAACAAAACCCTGCAGTATCTCTGAGGTGTGCCTATAATTACAAATTTAAATTAATTAGTATTGCAAGCAATGACTAAATAAAACTGCTTTGTGGTTATATGTTATATGTATGAAAATAGCTTGAGTTGTGATCATTTTTACCCTACACATCTGGTTTGCTATTCCTCTCAGTTTTAGTGGAGACAGAACTACTGAATTAGGGTTATCATACTGGGCTGACTGGTTTGGTGAGGTGTAAGTTTTCTTGCTTTTCAGAGTAGTCACGGATGTTGTCCCAGGCAGCCAGACTAGGACTGTGGCCTCTCTCCTCCTTCCTGGATAAAAGTTCACCACAGAGAAGGGCAGTGACTTTGTTAATTCTTTGACTCCTGTTTCTCTTTGTCTTCTGCCAAAGCTGTGAATGAAGCCACCTGTACCTGGAGTGGCCAGCTTCCTCCCCGGAACTACAAGAACCCCATCTACTCTTGCAAGGTGTTCCTAGGAGGTGTCCCTTGGGATATTACGGAAGGTGAGCTCTGAGACCTTCTGCTTCAAGTGTTGAAGGTGGGGCATGTCTTTCAGAAACAAGAAACTTGGACTTGAGGCCAAGAACTGAACCTCTGCCTGGGCACAGGGTATTACAGGAGCAACTGTGATGGGAAAGGTGCACTTCATAGACTCCTACAGTGCTTCTGTGTCTGTTGCATACAGTTGTCACCTGAGACCAAAGGTCAATTCTGAGTTGTCTGTCAAGGAGGATGAGCCCAAGAGAATACTAGTGGCCCTGTGCCTTCCTCGGGAGGATGGTGTCTCAGTTTCTGTCATTCTTTTCATCTCTTTGCAGCTGGATTGGTTAACACCTTCCGTGTTTTTGGCTCTTTGAGTGTGGAGTGGCCTGGTAAGGATGGCAAGCACCCCCGGTGTCCTCCCAAAGGTAATATGCCTAAAGGTAATAAAGACATGGTAGGAGCTTTTTTTCCCTCCTTAGTATGTAATTGCACTGAGGGACGCTGGGGTGTCACAGCTGCATGATGATAACAAGGTTTGGGCACTCCACAGCACAGAACTTTCAGCTCTCGGCACTCCTTCTCAACCTCACACATCCTTCTGTTTCTTCTGAGCCAATGTTCCATCTGTCCAAACTCACACTGCGGTTGGAGCTCCCTGTGAAACGGCCTTGTGCACTTCCCTCCAAACCTGAACCCCAGCCGTTCCTGACCTCTCAAAATGAGGCGTTTGAAAAGCTTTCCTTTACTTGCCTTTCCTTCCCAGTTACGTTGTTGCCTGACCTAATTCTGAGCTCCCTTTGGAGTTAGCAGGAATGAGGACCAAGCATCTGATTTCTCACTGGTCTGAAATGAGATCCCTTCCCTGTAGAAAGGAGCAAGTGCTATTTTCACTCTGCCCCATCTTCACTGAAAGTGTTCCGATGAACTGAGCCAGTGGTCTAACTAGGCTTTTAAAGGAATACCTCCATCCCCTGGCCCCAGACCTGTCATCGCTCCTGCCCCCAGGAAAGCCAGGCTTGCTGACCTGAACATGCTTTGTGTTGTGGGATAAAGAGCTATGTGGTAATGATAGGATCCTCTGTCCTACTTTGCCAATCCCTTCCCTTACTAGGGTGGGAGATGGTGTGCTTCTCCCTCCGTTGGCCTGGTTGTCCAGCATAGCAAATGCTTCCATTCAACAAGACTTTCAGGAGTAGGACAAAAACGTGTCTCACCCATAAGGCATCTTTCTCGGAAGAAACTCCCTGCCGCAAAACCAAGGCTGAGGAGTTAGCCACCTGAGGGATGTTAATGCAGTTTCTCCTTCCATTGGATATAGGGTATGTATATCTGGTCTTCGAACTAGAGAAGTCTGTCCGGGCCTTGCTTCAGGCTTGCTCTCATGACCCGCTGAGCCCAGATGGCCTGAGTGAATATTACTTCAAGATGTCCAGCCGGAGGATGCGCTGCAAGGAGGTGAGTTGGCACAGCGTCCTTTCTGGATCGGGTGATTGGCATAGGAGGCAGTGGATTTCATGGGGTGGGTGGATACACAGGCTGCAGACAAGTATCCCTACTGAGGCAAGAGGGCTGCTCTTCTTGCTCCACGTTGAATACAACAGAACACTCTCAGCTGCATTAACCCCCCACCCCGCACCTTTGGGCCGTAATGGTATGCATGTGCTTCTGCCCATGGAAATCAAACTGTCTCCCAGATCTCCTTCTATTCTAGCCAGTGCTTCTGTCTCAGACCTCTTGTCTTAGAAATGAAATTGAAATTAGCAGCTTTCTCTGCTTGGACTTAACTGAAAATCTACAGTTGTTTCCCCCTAGTCCTGCTCTCAGGATGTGCCTTCTCACCTCCTAATCTGTGGTGCGTAGACCCCTCTTAAGCCCACATCCATGGATGACTTCTTCACTGCCATTCAGGGCTTTATTACTATCTAGTTTCCTCCATCTGGTTCTCTCTCCTTAGGCCGTCTCTGGTATCAGCCTCAGCATCGTGAGTCTCTAGCATAGAGCCATCCTGCCCGGGAGCCTCGTTGCATATTCTTGGACCCTATCTCAGGCTTACTAAGTCAGTTTGGGTGGAGTTTAAGAATCTCCACTTTAGGACTTCCCTGGTGGCGCAGTGGTTGAGAATCTGCCTGCCAATGCAGGGGACGCATTGGGGTTCGTGCCCCGGTCCAGAAAGATCCCACATGCCGAGGAGTGGCTGGACCCGTGAGCCATGGCTGCTGAGCCTGTGCGTCCGGAGCCTGTGCTCCGCAACGGGAGAGGCCACAACAGTGAGAGGCCCGCATACCGCCAAAAAAAAGAAAAAAAAAAAAGAATCTCCACTTTAACCAAGTTCCCCATTGGTGCTAGTGGGTGGTGTTTGAGAACCACTTGTCAAAGGAAGTTTTGAACTCCGGAATCAGTGTTATTTTTTAAAATTTGGTTCCAGAGTACATTACTTTTGTGATATTGGATGAGATATTTAATATCATGAAACTTCATTTCCTCATCTATAAAATGGAAAATTGAAATGCCTCTTTTAGTAAGATTAGCGGTTGCCAGGGGTTATGAGGGTAGAGGGGATGAATAGGCAAAGCACAGAGGATTTTGAGGATGGTGAAGATACTCTCTGTGATACTGTAATGGTAGATACATGCCATTATACATTTGCCAAAAACCCATAGAGTTACAGTGGTAAAACAAACCCCAAGTGTGAACCCTAATGTAAACCATGGATTTTGGACAATACTGACGTGTCAGCGTAGGTTTCCTGATTGCAGCAGGTGTGCCAGTCCTGTGAGGGGTGTTGAGAGTGGGGGAGGCTGTTCGTGTATGGAGGCGGGGGGCGGTTATATAGGAACCCCACATTTTCAGCTCAGTTTTGCTGTGAACTGGAAGCTGCTCTGGAAAGTAAAGTCTACTAAAATCTGTAGGGTAATAGAGAAAATGCCTGTTTTATTGAGATAGTCACATTGGATTTAAAATAAATGATGCATGTGACAAAGTTGGCTCTTTGTTCTACGATGTTTCCTGGTGTTAGTTCACATTGATTTTGTCCTTTGGCTGCGCATGGTGCCCCACAGTTTCCCTGCCTTCTTTCTTGCTGTGTGGAGCTTATGTAGTTATCACAGCTTATGCTCTGGGACTTAACAACATGCTCCTTCTTCCCTATCCCCTGCTTTCACAGTGAGAGGCTGCCATTGCAGCACCACAGGCCCTCACCCTCCTCAGTACCCTGCAGACACCTTCCTGCTCCTAGTCCCTCGTCACCGCATCGCACAGTGTTTGAATAGCTTTCTTTGATGCATGGGCTGTAGGCAGCTCTGGTTCTCATCTCTCTCTGACCCTCTATTTCCTTTGTGTTTCCCCCTCCACACCAGAGTAGTAGGTATTTGATTCCCCCCTCTCTTCTTCCCCATGTCAGACAAGTTACTCACTTGTGTGGCTCTGCTCTTACCTTTAGACCACACTCACCTCTCTAGTCTCATGTCCTACTTGAGCCCCACCTTCCTGTGGGGCCTTTCTTTGGCATGTCCTATAATTATAAACTCCTACTTTTAAGAAAGCTTGGAAAGCGTGGTGGCTGTTGGGATGTGAACCAAGATTGTGATACTTTCCCATGGTAATGGAAAAAGCAAGATGGGCTTTTGCATCTTCCAATGAAATTGGCTCCCCCTGGTAACTTCTCCCAGGCTCTCTCATCTCAAGGTTATCTAGGTCTAGAACCCATCAGACCTGATTCTTGTTTTCCCACCATGCCCAGGCAGTCTGAATTCTGCAGATTCTCCTGTTGAAGAATCTTCTTGATCTTGGCCTGTTCTTTGCCCAGTACCACCAGCCTTCTCCAGGTCTTCTTCAGCTGTCCTGTGAACTACTGTTCTGCCTCCTTGCTGGTTTATGCCTCAGGTCTCTTCCTGCTTTGAGACCTTTTTTTTTTTTTAAAAAAAAAAATCTTCACAGATTAATCTTCCAAAAACACTTACTGATCATCTGTCAACTCACTTCATTCTGGAGCCTTCTGTCTGCTATGCCAGATTTTGTTCTAGGCTCAGGATTTGGAAGCAGAGGACATGGTCAGTTCCTGCCCTAGCGTCACTCTGCCCTGCAGAACCTCAGTGTTTTCCTGTGTGTGACTTTTCACACTACCTCTCTCCAGTTACTCCCACTGCTCCTGTCACAAGCCCTCTAGTGAGTACATTGGGCCAGTAACCATCTCACACAGATACCTTCAGCAACCCTACCCTCTGTCCTTCAAGCTCCTATCCTGTCGTTCTCTGTGAATCCTTCCTGTCCCAAGGACTCTAGACCATGCTGTCTGTTCATCAGTGTCCATGGTCCTTTGTTGGAACCACATGGTTGAAGGTTGTAACAGTGCTAGGTTCCTGGGTATGACAGTTTGGGACTATTTTGCTTACTCTTCAGAATGGGTAGACTACTACTCTACCATTTTTTTAAAAAACCATTTTGGACTCACGGACTCAGTAAAATTCAAGTCTAGTTGTGTTGGGGTGAGGGTGGCTTGCCGAGTACCTGTGTGCCTGGGACTGTATGGGGCTCAGCTTAGCATCTCCAGAGCATGTGCCTCTCCGTACGAGAGCCTTTTTCTGGCTCCCTACCAGGGCTGATATACCTTTGGGTGGTTTTTAGGTACAAGTGATCCCCTGGGTCTTGGCCGACAGCAACTTTGTTCAGAGCCCATCTCAGAGACTTGACCCCAGCAGGACGGTATTTGTTGGTGCTCTGCACGGGATGCTGAATGCCGAGGCCCTGGCAGCCATTCTGAACGACCTATTTGGTGGTGTGGTGTATGCTGGGATTGACACAGATAAGCACAAGTATCCCATTGGTAAGTGTCCCACTTCTGTGTGGGAAAGCTGGGTGGCCCCTGGGATGTAGACCAAGATTGTGATACTTCCCTATGGGAGTGGAGGGGGAGACCTGACTCAGACCTGCAGATCAGCATATACCAGCAGTATAGCATCTTTTTCTAGATAAGCCACCAGTACTGACCCCTCTGTACCCATCCCTCTCCCACCACTTCCCTTGAAGGGGAGAAAAATTGATAGGAGGTGAAAATGAAACAGGAACTTTGGTTGGAAGCTCAGAGTTAACAGCCAAACCAGTCTGAGACAGACAACAGGTAATATTTCATTAAAAGGTCAGGACTTTCCTGAACTTGCTTGGTTTCCTTTGTTAAGAGGCCTTGAAAAGCGGCCTTGTCTAGGGTCAGAGACCACGTGAGGCTGAAGGAAGACTCTGGGTGACTCAGCCAACAGAGTATGGTCATGGCCTATGCTGTCCTAGTGTAGGGGAGTCTGGGGGCCTAACCACTGGGTTTTGGTCAGCCCCACTGGGAAAGGAGGGCAGTTTCCCAGTCGTGGTAGAATAATCTTAGTGGTGGGGTTTGGAGGTGGAGCAGAGCCTCAGCTTCCTGATCAACACATGGCTAATCCACCTTCCCACATGCTTCTTCGTCTGCCCACCCACACAGAATCTGGTCAGGAAGGAGCATCTTGTGCCTTTCAGTGCCGCACCGCAGATTGAGAACAGGGACTTCAGAGGCTGCAGGGGCAGAGGCGGCACTTGGCAGGATGAGGCTGCTTCTGGCTCCCCTGCTAGGCTCTGGAGTACCTCCAGGCCAGGAGGGCCTTGACTGCTGGGCCTGCCTTCAGAGAGGTGTTCTATCTGCATCTTGCTTTCCACTCTGAACCCTTGTAACCGTGCCTGTGCATCTGCTTACACGGAGGAGTCTCTTCCCTCCTCCTTGTGGTCAGCAAGTCCTCCCCCCATTCCTGAGGGGGTTGTGCCATCATGGTCTACAGCTACACTGTCTGATACAGTGCCACCAGCTGAATGTGACTCTGAGTGCTTGAAGTGTGCCTAATGCCACATGTTGAAATGATAATATTTTGGATATATTGGGGTAAAGAAAATTAATTAAAATTAATTCCACTACATTTTTCTTCTTCATTCCACTACATTCATTAAATGCGGCTACTAGAAAACTTAAAATTACATAAGTAGCCCATACTATATTTCTATTGGACAGCACAGCACTGATCTAGGAACAGGGTTTCCTGAGCGTTGACAAGTGGTGTTCGGGAGAATTTGGCTGGAAGGTAAGTTTTCCTGTTTTTCCTAGGGTCTGGTCGCGTGACTTTCAATAACCAACGTAGTTACCTGAAAGCAGTCAGTGCTGCTTTTGTGGAGATCAAAACCACCAAGTTCACCAAGAAGGTGAGTGGGCTGGTCTGTACCCTCACTCTGGGCCATCTGAGAGGGGTCTGGGCCAGCCACTACCCAGGGCAGGCCTGAGACGGAAGCTGTCCCTGTGCTGGATATGCTTTGGGGAATGAGCCAAGCTTCTGAGGACACACTTGAGGTGAGGTTTGGGTTTGGGAGGGGCCTGGTCTTGGTCCACTCGGGGGGATGGGAGCTTGGGACTGTTGAGCCTCCTCAACATGTGGGGTGCCTTCCTGTGCTGTGTTATTTGGCCAGCTTTGCAAGGCAGCCTGACTTCTATTCTCCAGCCTGACCTGCATTTTCTGATTGCTTACTTGTTGCTGGATGATAGAGTGCCATGGTCCGGTTTGCCGAGAAGACCAGGCAGTAGTGTGTGTGGTTGCACACACTTTGTAGAGCCAGCCTGGCAGCTTCTGCAGTTTGGGCACCTGCCATCAAGGATCTCTGTACTCTCTGCCTATAGTTCTCTCTGGGCCCCCCTTAAAACAGGAAGCCCCCTGTATTCATATGGATGGCCCATGACATGCCCTTCCCTTCTGGCCCATTTGGCCTCCTGGTGAGAAGCAACCACTTCATTATCCTGTTTTGCTTTGTGCAGGTTCAGATTGACCCCTACTTAGAAGATTCTCTGTGTCATATCTGCAGTTCTCAGCCTGGTCCTTTTTTCTGTCGAGATCAGGTGAGTCCCCTGGGCACTTGAGATGTTTATAAAATCCCCGCCTTCAGTTAAAGATTGTCATGTCTCATTTGTCACAGGGAATGTTGGAGTTCTCAGGTGCCTTGCGGTTGTCTTAAGAGCATAGAAGAGGCAGCAGTAATGTTTGCTGATGATTAGACCAGAGACACACTTGACCCAAAACTGTTGGGAAAGCTCGTTGAGTCTTGCTACTTTGGCCTTCTCCTTGCCTGGGATGTTGGTTTTCAGTGTGGCACTATTGGTAATGGTGATTTTTGAGGATGATAGGAACCTGCTCGGCGTGGTCAGCAGTACCTATGAGCCAGGCACTGTTGTTCTAAGTCTAAGGCCTTCTAGATGGATTTTCCCCTATGCATGGAAGCTTGCTTTTTTTACTTCTGAACCTCTGGACTGTTTTGATATTTGTACCTGGTTTGTACCCAGTTGTCAGAAGCAGGCAGAAAGCAGCATGGCAGTTTTTGTTGAGTGTTTCTGGGTGGTGGAGCACAGATCTGGATGTATTTGGGCAGTGCTTCTCATAGTCTAACGTATATACGCATCACCTAAGGATCTTGTGTAAATGCAGATTCTGATTCAGTAGGTTTGGAGTGTGGCCTGAGATGCCTTGTTTCTGACAGGTTTCCAAGTAGTGCCAGTGTTGCTGGCAACAAGACAAGTTTGGGATGTGTTCGAATACTAGCAGTGCATCCATACTTAGTTATTTTTGCAGTGGTGCTGTCACTCAGGTTTGGAGTCTCTGGGTAGACAGTAGTTAAACTGAGGCTGCAAAATGAGGATATGAAGTGAGTTTGGGTTGCTGGGTAAAGCCGGAGAATAAGTGTATCTCTGAATAGCCTCTTCTAGCAGGCTTTTGTGTGTGTGTATCTTCCACAGATGATCCCCATTTTTGCATAATGGCTCAGAAGTTTAGTGGCTTGCTCGGGCTTACACAGCCAGCGGGAGTGTGGGCCTGGGACTGAAGTAGTGCCCAGTGACCTCTCCTCACTTAGTGTGACGAGGGAGCCGTGCTGCCCGGCATTAGGATCTGGAGTCACTGTCTTTAAATGTTCTCCCATGTTAGCAGGCGTGTGCTACAGCTGCTCCATAGGAGGTAGGAAGGGCAGGGGACTGGAAGAGCAGCTGTGGTGCTAAGAGGAGATGAGGGAAGCTGGCACAGTCTCTACACAATAGGAGCCCAGCATGCTGGATTAAGTCTGGGCACCCATAGAAACAGGCGGTGGATTTGCCATGGTTTGGTCAGGCCTCTGTTGGGGATGAGAGGGATCCCCAGGACCATCTCTTCTAACCCCACAGAGGCCATCAGGAATCCCCCACTTGCTCTTGGGCAGAGCAGGCAGCTCATGCAGCTGCCCCCCTGGCTGGTGCTGACACAGGCCTGGCTTCTCTCTGTTTTTCTCCGCTCCACCCAGGTGTGCTTCAAGTACTTCTGCCGGAGCTGCTGGCACTGGCGGCACAGCATGGAGGGCCTGCGCCATCACAGCCCCCTGATGCGGAACCAGAAGAACCGAGATTCCAGCTAGAGGAGCTGGCCTTGCCCAGTGGCCTGTGGCGCCTGAGGCTGGCAGGTCAGGCAGTAGCCTGCACCACCCTGCTGCCACTGGCCACCAGGGAGCTGGCTTCCCGAGGACAAGGGAAAATCGTAGTCACCTTTGCACTTGCTGAATCTGTCTTTGTTTCTGCACTAATTAATGCACAATGAGTTTTGTCGGATTTTGTTTTCAGGGGGTGTACCAGGGCAAGGACCCTTAGGCTCACCCTCCAAGCGACTCTGTAGTTTTCCCAGATTTTAGTTCCTCATTTTGCCGATGAAAAAGCAAAAAAGAACTACGTGTCCAGAAGGTATTGACACGATGCCTACATCTAGGTTTATTTATTAAAAGCGCTTTTTTACATTCCTTGCAATACTGATGGTGATGATGTGCAGGTCTCATTGGTTTCATTCTTGCAGTTGCCATACAGTGCCTTTCCATTTATTTAACCCCCACCTGAACGGCATAAACTGAGTGTTCAGCTGGTGTTTTTTACTGTAAACAACAAGGAGACTTTGCTCTTCATTTAAACCAAAATCATATTTCATATTTTACGCTCGAGGGTTTTTACCGGTTCCTTTTTACACTCCTTAAAACAGTTTTTAAGTCGTTTGGAACAAGAGATTTTTTTTTCTTTCCTGGCAGCTTTTAACATTATAGCAAATTTGTGTCTGGGGACTGCTGGTCACTGTTTCTCAGAGTTGCAAATCAAGGCATTTGCAACCAAGAAAAAAAAATTTTTTTGGATTTGAAACTGGACCGGATAAACGGTGTTTGAGTGGCTGCTGTATATAGTTTTAAATGGTTTATTGCACCTTCTTAAGTTGCACTTACTTGGGGGGGGGAGGGTTGATAGAAGTTTTTAATCACAAAGTCACAGGACTTTTTTCTTTTGTAACTGAGCTAAAAAGGGCTGCTTTTTGGTGGGGGCAGATGAAGGCTCACAGGAGCCCTTTCTCTCAGAGGGGACAAGTACCCTTCCCTTATTTCTTTCATTTGAGAAATGTATGAAGCAACAGTTGCAGTTGACTGAAATGCTACTGGAATTTGAAAACTTGACTTTTTCTTTTCTTTTTTTTTTTTTTTTTTTAAAAAAAAAGACTTGCCCCTCTTTGGGAAGCTGTGTGCCAAAGAACCAGTGTCATAACCCCCCCTCCTCCCTCCTGCTGAGCTGACGTTGCATTGTTGCATATCCCAGCTACTCTGTGGGTTTTGTGAAGCTGTGTGTGAAGTCTCTACCTCATTGTAGTATATGCAGGCAAGACTGCACTCTCCTACAGATGTGTGGAGTAAGCTGTGGTGTAGTTTTTTTGGCACATAATAAACACGTTGCAGCAGAGTTCTGGTTTTGTCTCTGTGTCTGAGCTGTGGGAAAAAGGGGGCAGTGGGACACCAAGATTCCAGAGTAAAAACCCACATTTCCTTGGATCTTCTGTGATGAGATTCCAGCCCAGGTTGATAGTGGGGCCATGTGGGGACTTGCCCCTGTAAGTCCTTCTTGGTCACTTCCGTGGTCAAATGCACCTCGGAGGTGCCTCTCTAGTAAGTGGGTACCTCTAGTCTAGGTATGTAAAAAGCCCTCACAAATAAACTTCCTGGGGCTCCTCTTTTCATAATCCTAGACTCAGCTTGGAGGAACTGGAGGCATAGCTCCCCAGAGGTCGGCACGAGCCACTTGTTCTCAGCTTCTCCTGTAAGCCTCAGAGCTGATTCTTCTTCTTGGGAGGCTTCCTATCTCTTGGAGTCAGCTGTGCTGACCCAGTTCTTTACTGAGTGGGAGTAAATTTTTGCTGTTCTTCAGGACTATCATCTGGACTCTTTCTCACAGGCGGGATGCCAGGATTTTTGAAAGGGTCTGCTGATGATTTTTTCAGGTAGGTTGTTCCTGGGCCCAGCTGCTGGAGTGATCTTTGGAAGATTCCATTTTAGTCTGCGGTGGAGGGAGCCCTGCACACTGAAGCATCCGTTCCGTGAGAGGTGCAAGAAGTCACTATCTGAGGGGGTGGGGAGTCCCTTCGGCCAAGAATGAGAGGCCTCATCTTTCCCTTGAGGCCTGATGGCAGCAGCATAGTTTGAAGTGTGCAGGTAAAGTAAACTGCATCTCTCTTGAAGGAGAGTCTGACTCTCCCTTTTGGTGTCCTGGTCTGTCCTGTCCTATTCAGAGAGTCATCTCTTCTCCCCTTTGGTCCCTCTTTTGTCCAGGTGCTACTTTCAGGGCAAGGGCTCCCTGTCCTTCAGCCTTCCATCCTCAGTCAGTTCAGAGACTGACTGGACTGTCCAAGGTGACCAGGAGTTGAGTTGGGGGATGAAGCACAGCCTGGTGCCCCTTAACTCATCCAAACTGGGCAGCCCAGTCTTTCTTTAAGTCAGGCGGGGACTTGGAACCCACTTAAGCCAAGTTGGAGATAAGGAGCAGGGCACTCCCGAGGCTAATGAGGCTACCAGGGGTAGCCTGTGCTGGTGGCCTCAGAAGGACCTGGTTTGCGGATGGGTACAGCAGGAACAGCCTTATGACGGTGGTGGTTGGAGAGAGTGCCTCAGCTGGGAGCGCTACGGGTGAACTGGGCCCTTCACTTAAACATTTGAGAACTTGCTTTGTGCCGGGCACTGTTCAAGGCAAATACTGCCATGGAACTCATCCTTAGCTGAGAAAATTGAGACAAGTCACTGTGACGTGCTAAGAAATACTAGAGCAACTTTAAAAGGCTAGCAATGCTAAAAAAATGATAAAAGGATAGCAGTGTTACTTTGTATAAATTGGAGGGAAAGTTCCTCTGATAAGGTGACGTTTGAGCAAAGACTCGGAAGAAGTGAGATAATTCTTTCCCAGTTGTACCTGTGTCTCCACCAGGCTAGACACAAGTCTGTGACCCATGGATTGGGTGGGGATCCTGTGCACGGCGCCATCCCCTACTTCCTCACTTTTCCGCGCTCCCGCCTTCCTGATGGCTCTTAAGCCTTCATCCCTCTCCGCATCATGTGTGGGAGAGATACGCCGCCGCTCTTAGTCTAGGGCACTTTAATGGGCGACCTAACCACTGAAGAAGGGTCTAGAGAAACCTGCGTACGACCACCCTAGTTGGGGCGGGCCGGGGCGGGTCAGCCACTCGCTACGCCCACTGGATGGCAATTGGCCATACTTCCGTTCCATTCCGCCCCGCCCCTCTAGGGGTCGCTGTGCCGCGCTTACAGTCGGCTCAGCGCATTTCAGACTAGGCGGAAGCGGCTTTCTGGCCTGCGCTTTATAGGCCTCTCGTGCTTCCTGTTTCCTCTTTTACCAAGGACCCGCCGACATGGTAGGTGTTTTTGTTTCCAATCTGGTACCCCCCACAATCGTCCTCCATCCGCCGCTTTGCACGGCCCCCAGCCCGCGAGGAGGGGCGCAGTACCCTGTGAGGCCGAAGCCTCCGTGGGCCGCTGGCTTCCGCGTTGACCCCGCGCTCCAGCACTGCCCGACCGGCCTTCTCCCCCTCCTGGGCTCAGACCCAGCCCACGAACCCCGCTCCGGTTAGGGCGTGACGCCGTGCTGTTCCCCGGAGGGGGTTCCTGAGTCGCGAGTGACCCTGTGTTCTCCACTTGCAGGGCCGCGTTCGCACCAAAACCGTGAAGAAGGCGGCCCGGGTCATCATTGAGAAGTATTACACGCGCCTGGGCAACGACTTTCACACCAACAAGCGCGTGTGCGAGGAGATCGCCATCATTCCCAGCAAGAAGCTCCGCAACAAGATCGCAGGGTGAGTTCAGCCGGCGCTCGGCCTCCAGGGCCTGCTGGGAGACGGAGAGTCGTGGCCCCGCGGGTGGGTCGTGGGAGCTGGGTTAGCACTAGTCTCCCGCTGCTCCGAGAAGAGCGCTGGAGGTGTGCCTTTGCCGGGTTTCTTGGTGGGGTTGTCTTAATGTTCGCGTTGTATTTGGCGGTTTGACTGGCGGGGGCGCTTGGACGAGGTTAGCCACAGTCGACCTCTGGAAGACTAACGTTAAGTAAGGGTGTACTCGACTTAATGCTAACTTATGTACACTGGAATTCGAAGTAAAGGAAATGAAGGTTGGGAGGAGGGGTCGTGAAGGTTTGTTGGGAGTACTTGATAGCTTTGAAAGCGAATTTGAATAGAGAGGATGTGCGACACCAAAGGGACAGGCATGCCTAGGTAAGTGGAGCTGCGTGTGGAGGTTTTGTGTATGTAGGAGGTTCAGAGTCAGGGCCCCCAAGGTGAATCCTCTCCCTTCTCACTGCGGGAAGAGAACTGAAATACACATGCAGACGTTCTGGGTACCAGTGGGAGCCAGTGTGTGTTCTTGGGCATTTGTTCTTTGTAGCTATGTCACACATCTGATGAAGCGGATTCAGAGAGGCCCAGTGAGAGGTATCTCCATCAAGCTGCAGGAGGAGGAGAGAGAGAGGAGGGATAATTACGTGCCTGAGGTAAACTTTCTGGGTCTTATTCTGGATCTCTTGTTCATCCTGAAAGATAAAGCAGGTTCCTGAGAACCGTTTCAGGTACCTGGTTTTCAAAGGGACCTCAGCTGAGTCTTCATATACCCTTTGACCAGCTGTAGGTGCCTATAATTTACTTGCCTGTATGTTAGGTTCTGTTCTGCCCTGTTGGGATCATGTAAGTCCATTCTGTTTTATACATGAGAGCCTTTTAATGATGTTTGTTTGGTGACTTATGTCTTCTGGTTTGATTATTTGCCCTAGCATAGTATTTCTGCAGTATAAACCCAATCTTAAGGTTTTCTAAATACTGGATTCGTGGGATCCTACTGTATCCTCTCTATGCCACCCATCCCCGTCCCCCACCCCCTTTTTTTGTTCCTCATTTAAGAATCTTAGAGAAAAGGCAGGGAAGGTGAGAGATAACTCATTGCTATTTGGGACCTGCCTTGTTCCTTACAGGTCTCAGCCCTGGATCAGGAAATCATTGAAGTAGATCCTGACACTAAGGAAATGCTGAAGCTCTTGGTAAGTGTTTGCTGAATTCCTAAAGTAGGGCTTCCCTGGTCACCATCCATCAGTAGCTTTCTACTGTGGGTAATACTTCTAGGTAACACTTACTGAGTCTTTAAAATATATCAAGTAATCTCAATGTTTCTATATGGCGTTTCCCTTTTCCTCAGTGTGTCCCATGAGGCACATCCTGTTATTTACATTTTATAGATGATGAAATGGTAATTTCAAGGTGAGTAGGTGGCAGGGATGGGAATCCATCCACCCTTCTAACCACTAACCTAGACTGCCTTCAAAGTGGGTTTAGCTAGTTAGTGAAGGTTCATTTTGCTCTCCACACGAGGATAACTCCCAAATCCAGTGGCTGTTCTTCCAGGACTTCCAGAACACCCCTTCTCTCAGTTCCTTCTGTTCTCTTCTCGATTTTGTGGCTGGCTTCTCACATTTACCCCCTTGGTTCCATCCTTAGTTCTCTTTTCAGTCTGCCTCCTTACTTCTATATCTGTATGCTAATCACTCAAATGAGCTGTGGTCTCATTTCCAGTTGCTAACTGGGCACTACTTGGGTAGTTCAGCTATCTTCAATACAATCTGATAAGTGTCTCTTCTGTGACATATCTTAGTACTTTAGTAGTTTGGTGAAAGCATGAGCTTCAAAGTCCAGGAGGCAGTTAGTGATTTAGAGCAACTTTATTTTTCCTTTTTATGATCATGAAACGTCTTAAGACGTTCAGAAAGATAATGAATAGAGTGAACACCCATATACTACCACCTGGTCTCAGAAAAACATAACCAGTACAGCTAACGCCTGCTACAGATCATTTTGTCCTGAAATACTACTCTGGAATGCATCTTTTTAATTTCAACTGTAAAATTGGTTTTTGAGGATAAAATGAGGAATTAAATTCTGGTTATATGGTGGGCCCTTGGGTTCTTTTTTTTTTTTAACATCTTTATTGGAGTATAATTGCTTTATAGTGGTGTGTTAGTTTCTGCTTTATAACAGTGAATCAGCTATACACATGCTCTTGGGTTCTTTGCACTTAGATTGAGCCACCTTAAAGGCAGGCCCTGACCTTGTCCTACCACTATTCTACCCGGGCCCTTCACAAATGTTGATTGCATAAGTGATGCCTCCTACCTGAGGGCTGGTCTTGGAAATGAAGTGGCACTGTATATGCCTTAGAGGAGTGATTCTCAAAGGGACAGATTTTGCACCCCACAGGGAACATTTGGTAATATCTGGACACATTTTTGGTTGTCACAACTGGGGGATACTAGCAGACATTAGTGCATAGAGTCCAGGAATGCTGTCAAACGTCTTAAAGTGCACAGGACAGCTCCTTCATGGCTGACTGTGGAGGATCCTTCAGATCGCAGGTAGACCCCCTACAGAGTTTTATTGCTCTGGGGTGGGGAGGAGAAGGCTCTCTTGGTTTTCTGCAGGGTCCCACCAATCTGACCCCAAGGTTGTGGAGGCTGACAGAAGCATAGCCTAATGGTGGTGCCGGGGCTCTGGACACAGATCTCACCAGTACAGCCACACTAAGCCCCTTTTTATTGTTCCAGGACTTTGGCAGTCTGTCCAACCTGCAGGTCACTCAGCCTACAGTTGGGATGAATTTCAAAACACCACGTGGAGCCGTTTGAATCTTTCTGCTGTGCTGTAATATTTTCAATAAACCTCGGACAACAACCGTGCCTGTGTCATCTGTGGGGTTGGGTGCCGGTGGAGCTAAGGGCAGGAATTCTTTCTCAAGGGAGATGTATCCTGAAGAAGAGCGGTCTGCAGTGTGACGCATCTGTAAGTGGCCTGTGGGCAGCGCCCATACAGATTATGGATGTGGTAGGAGGCCTGAGCCTGGACACCTGCATCACTTCTTTGGTTGCCAGCTCTACCCTTCTTGGTCCTCCCAGGCCCTGAGCACGCACTCTGGCTTCAGACAAAAGTCAGGAGATGCTTTTCCCTCCTCACCCTGTAGGCCCTGCTTCAGCCTCCTCCGAGTACATGCAGTTTGGGTTAATGAACCTGCCGGTCTTGAAAGGGTAATGCTCCTCATGTGTGTGAGGGTTGGGCTTTCTGTGGGTGGGAGATAGGATGGGTGTGGAGGCCAGTACCTGGAGCATAGGAGATTGAATGAGTGTGAATGGATGTGTGGGGGAGGATCAGTGAAACACAAGCGGATGTGTCAGTTCAAGGGAGGCTGAGCTCAGTGGGTGGATCTGAGCTTGGGGAGCTGCTGAGGCTGTGGGTCCAACTCTGTTGTGGAGAGTGCTGGGTTGGGCTGGTCCCTGCTGAGCAGTGGGAGGACAGCTTGCAGCACAGGCTCCTCTGCTTGACTGTCCTGGGCTGAGCTGGGCCTGTTTGTGTGCATGTGCATGTCAAGATCTCTGCAAGGTAGTGGCAGGACCTAGGTCAGTCTGGCTCTCCATTGATCCTTTGCACATCTGGTTCTGTGAGGCAGATACGTGCAACAAACATCCTAAAAATGTGTATTGTAGCAGTACAAAAATTGTAACAATTTTGATTCAATTTCAGACTTGAAAAGTTGCAAGAATATATAGCACAAAGAACTTTAAAATACTTACCCGACCTCAGCTCACATTTTGCCGCAATTGCTTTAATTGTCTCTATACACACTTTTTTTCTGATCCATTAGGATCAAGTTAGAGATGGGCCCTTTTGTTCCAAATATTTTATTGTCAGTTTGCTAAGAACAAGCATAACTGCAGATCAATGATGATAATCGGGAAGTCTAACATTGATATCATACTGTTACCTAATCCATAGTCCACTGTAAAATCTTGCCAATTTTCCCAATAATATTTTCCATAGTTTTCTTTCCTGGTTCAGAATCCAACCCAGAATTACTACATCTAGTTCTCATGTCCTTCAGCCTTCTTTCCATGTCTGTCTTGGAAAAGTATTGGCTGATTTTGTAGAATGTCCTTCAATTTGGGTTTGATGTCGGCTCACAATTAGATTTAATTGAGCTTTTTTGTGTAGGAATACAGATGGTCCCTGACTTAAAATGGTTCGATTTAAGATTTTTTGACTTTAGGATGGTGTGAAAGTGATATTATTCAGTAGAAACTACTTCAAATACGGAATTTTGATCTTTTCCCAGGCTAGTGATACGTGGTAGAGCTCATGATTCTGGGCGGTGGCAGTGAGCCACAGACCCTAGTCAGCTATGTGATCTCAAAGGTAAACCCAACAATACACAACTCTTTTTTTGTACCCATAAAAACATTGTTTCACTTTCAGTACAGCATTCAATACGTGAGATACCCAATACTTTATTATAAAATGGGCTTTGTGTTAGATGATTTTGCCTAACTGTAGGCTAATGTGTTAGGACATTAGAAGTAGCCTCAGCTAAGCTATGATGATCAGTAGGTTGTGTATTAAATGTATTTGTGACTTAGGGTATTTTCAATCTACGATGGGTTTATTGCAACATAACCCCATCATAAGTCAAGGAAGATGTGTACCACAGAAGAGAGATTGTGTACTTGATGCATCATATTGGGAGGCACAGAATACTTGGTGAGTTTTAGTGATGTTTACTTTGAGCACTTGGATTAAGGGGCATCTGTCAAGTTTCTCCACTGTAAGTTATAAGGAGGTATTTCGAGGCTAAATATCCTGTTCTTCAACTTTTCACTCACTAGTTAATAGCATCTATTAATATTTTAACTCCATTATTACCTTTATATTTATTAGTATTGTACAGTAAGGAAGAGCTTTCTCTTAAAACTTTTTCTTTCCATTTTTTGATGTGGAGTCGGGCATTCTCAGCAAATACTCTTGCCTTCTAAATACAGCTCCGTATAAAGAAGCCTTTCCTCTTGGTTTTTGGTGTCAATGATGAGGAAAGGGGTGGGCTTTCTGTATGGGGGGAGAAATTAGAGCTGGGTTAAAATTACCAATGGGTAAGAAAATTAACAAAATGCCAAACCAGCAACAAGGCCGTTTGCTGTGATGTTTGCCACACTCGCCTACTAGGAGGCAGTGTCATTGCTATTCCACATCTGCCTGGCTCCTCTACCTCTAGGCTCTGTGCTCTAGATAACTTAAGATGAGGGATGGGAAGGGTTGGGGGAGGAGGAGGGAGCCGACTTGGGCTGCACGAAGAAGCTGTTTATCTTCCATCAGTGTTGAGGAGCTTCTCTAGGCCTTAGTTCTTTCATCTGTAAAATAAGACCTGTGCTCATTAGAACTTCCTGTGGAGCTTGTTAAAAGCAGGTGGCCAGGCCCTGCCCCTGATTTGGGCTGTGATTTGTGTGTTCAGGAGGTGGGTGGGGCCTGCGTGGGTGTTTCCACAGGTACTTGCTGGCAGTTCCAATCCCAGTTGGGTTTGGAAACTGCCAGCCTAGCAACTAGCACTGGCTGGCCCACGGTGCAGTCTCCCATGTTTGGGGTCAGATAATGCTCTTCGCATAAAATAGACAAGAGAGTCTTCTGCCTTCTGTGTCACAGATTCTGCTTCTTCAAGATTTGAAAGGCCCCAGGAAAGTTTTGGAGGTAATTATCTTCTTTTTTTCTATATTGCCCTTAGTTGTGTTAAAGTATAATTTTCAACAAAGTGAAATGGCTCTCATACAGATGGATATAAAATGAACACGTTAAGCATTTTTAAAAACTCAAAGAACTGAGATGTTACAGTCAGTTCAAAGGAGAAGTCAAGGACAAATTTGGAGTAAAAGAACGTTGAAATGAATTTATAAATGGACACGAGACTGACTTCTTCCACAGGAGGGAAGTCAGCTGAACCTCTACCCAACAGAATTTATTTATTTGCCTTTGTCTATAGATAAGAATTATTTGTATTATCAGGTATCTATAACTTACAGAGTTGTAAAATAGCTCCAAGGCAGTGAAAGGTGCAGAGCCTCTCTATAGAATCCAAATCAAAACCCAGGTTGTTGCTCTTAACAGTTGAAGCACAAATTTTCCCCTCTATCTGTAAATTCATATTCTCTGTATTGCTTATGTTGTTAATATTTTTAATTTTATTAGTATATAATTAGTTTTCTCATAATTAGGAAAACTCCGTTATTATGTGTCATTTTAAATGTTATGTTTGTTTTCTTTTCTAAATTAAACTTGTCAGATGTTTATTTTATCCATAGTTTCAAAGAACTAGCACTTGGAGATGTAACTTTCTTTTTACTTTACTTTTACTTTCCTCATTAGATACTGGAAAAAAACATGGATTCAATTGTGAGGAATGTGAGGAAAGCTCATTTTCTTTTTCAACTGCAGGGGTCAGCAAACTATGCGCAGCTGCCTGTTTATGGGTAAGCCATGAACTAAGAATGGTTTTTCACATTTCTAAATGCTTTAAAACAATAGCAACAACAAGAGGAGAATACTGTGGCCTGTGGAAACTATACGAAATTCAAATCAGTGTCTACATACAGAGTTTCATTGGGGTGCAGCCACATTCATTTGTTTACAAATTGTAGATGGCTGTTTTCCTGATGCACTGGCTGAATTAAATAGTTGCCACAGAGACAGTACGCAGCAGTGTTATCACTTTGCAGTACAGACTGCAGTTATACATTTATAACTCAGTAGTGTTATGAGGGCCATACCTATCACCATATCGTGACATTTAATTTTTTAAAAATTATTAGTGCATACTTAACGTTAAAGAAAAAAGAGCCCCCCCCCCCGCCCCGTCTAAGAACGTGCAGGGCGACGGCGGCCGGGGTGGGGGTGCGCATGTGCCCTGGGCCCGGGCCCCCCGGGAGCCATAATCCTGGAGGGACCCGCTCCCAGGAGTCATGTCCCTGCGCCCCGGCCCCCGGGAGACATAATCCATGCTCCCCGGCCGGGCCCCTAGGAACCGTGTCTACAAGTCCCGGGGGCCAGCGTGGCAGGGGCCGGGCTCACTCCGGGAGGCGGCAGGCGCTGTGAGCCCCTTCCCGCAGGGGCGCCTGTGCCGCGGACCGGCGGCTGGGGATCGCGGGGATCGCGGGGGACAGGAGCGCAGCGGACAGAGAGGCCTGGGCGCCGCCGGTTCATGTTGCTGTTTACGCTGCGGGCGCGCAGTGCCCCCTGCCCGCCCGCCAGCCCGCTGCTCCCCCGCCCGCTCCAACATGCCCTCAGTGCGCCTGCCGCTGCGCCCCTAGGCGCTAGACCGCGCGGCCGCCATGGGGAATGGGATGAACAAGATCCTGTCTGGCCTGTATATCGGCAACTTCAAAGATGCCAGAGAAGAACAAGATGACACACATTCTGTCTCTGCACTACAGCGCCAGGCCAACATTGGAGGGGGTTAAATACCTGTGCATACCAGCAGCGGATTCACCATCTCAAAACCTGACAAGACATTTCGAAGAAAGTATTAAATTCATCCACTAGTGCCGCCTGCGAGGTGAGGGCTGCCTTGTTCACTGCCTGGCCGGCGTCTCCAGGAGTGTGAGTCTGGTGGTTGCATACATCATGACGGTCACCGACTTCGGCTGGGAAGATGCCCTGTGCACTGTGCATGCAGGGAGGTCCTGTGCAAACCCCAACCTGGGCTTCCAGAGGCAGCTCCAGGAGTTTGAGGAGCACCAGGTCCATCACTTCCGCCAGTGGCTGAAGGAGGAGTACGGAGAGAGCCCTTTGCGGGATGCGGAAGAAACCAGAGGCATTCTGGCCACCCCAGGAATTCTGAAGTACTGGGCCTCTCTCAGAAGACTGTAATGTACCTGAAATATTGCAAAGCCAGAGTTTAGGTGCTGCCCAGAAGAAAAGCAGACAGAGTTTAGGTGCTGCCCAGAAGAAAAGCAGACAGAGTTTAGGTGCTGCCCAGAAGAAAAGCAACCAGAGTTCATTTTTCAGCGTCCAGAAGTAATTTGTGAACTCGCCTGTTTTCATTTTAAACAATATATATGCAATTGTGTCATCAAAAGAAAGAAAAAGAGAAAACTGGGCTTTAAATGTTATGTTTTTAAGGTATGAGTAACCCATTCATTCTGTAGGCAAGGGAAGCTGTTTACCAATGGTGAGTTAATTTCTCTGGAAGAAACATGTGCAGAGTAAGTAAACTTATTTAAAACTATTAGCCTTTGGGTGAGAATGGTTGCTTAAAGGGGTGAGAATCGTTGCTTAAAGGGTTGAGAACATTGGGAGTAATATCAGTAGTCAATTCAAAAGAAGGCAAATGATTTTGAATGGTTTTCCTTGGTTCTTGATGAGTCAAATGTTACCAATACTGCTCAGCTGTTATGCAAGGGTCAATGCCAACTTTGAAGAGTAAAGAATTAGCCTCTAGAATAATCTGCGTAGAACAGCTACAGGTGAGAATAATTTTAAAGATGAGAAATCACTGATTCAGTATAACCTGAAGTGGGAATTGGCTGAGCTAATGTTACAGCTGATTGTGGTAGAAATACATGCAGAGCAGAAAGGGCTTATTTGGACAGACTTCAAAGCTTGCAGAAAGGTAAAGTGTTTAAAACCTGTGTTATTCATTTTGTTACTCATTAATACGTATTCTGTAGAAAATATCTAAATTTCAATTATTGAACCAGTACTGTTAGCAGTGAATTTTACTCTCATAGAGTTAACCATCATCAGTTCCATGAATTTTGGTAGTTGTATTTAATTGTGGTAATGTTTTTTTAAACATATAATATTTGTTATTTTAACCATTCATAATTGTATAATTAGAGGCAATAAATATGTTTACGGTGTTATGGTAACCATCATCACTATGTCTAAAACTTTTTCCTCATCCCCAGCAAAAACCGTGTACTCGGTAAACAATAACTCCCTATTCCCCATATCACATTTTGTTTATCCATTCATATTTTGGTGGACATTTTGGTTGCTTCTGCTTTTTGGTTGTTGTGCAGAATGCTGCTATGAACATGGGTGTACAAATATCTGTTTAAATCCCTGCTTTCAGTTATTTTGAGTATATCCAAGAACTGGAATTGCTAGTTCATGTGGTAAATCTATGTTTAATTTTTTAAGGAAATGCCGTACTATTTTCCACAGCAACTGCACTATTTTACATTCCTACCAGCAGTGTACAAGTTTCTCCACATCCTTGCCAAAACTTGTTACTTTCTGGGGTTTTTCTTGGTTTTGATTTTGTTCTTTTGATAATAGCCATCCTTGTGAGTGTGAAGTGGTATCTCATTGTAGTTTTGATTTGCATTTCCATAATGATTAGTGATACTGAGCATCTTTTTAGGTGTTTATTGGCCATATGTATATCTTCTATGAAGAAATGTCTGTTCAAGTTCTTTGTCAGTTTTTAAATTGGTTGTTACTGAGTTGTAGGAGTTCTTTGTATATTCTGGATATTAATTCTTTATCAGGTATGATTTGCAAATATTTTCCCTCATTCTGTGTGTTGTCTTTTCTCTCTGTTGATAATGTCCTTTGATACACAAAAGTTTTAACTTTTGACAGTTCAATGTGTTATTTTTTCTTTTATTGCTTATGCTTTTGGTGTCATATCTAAGAATCCTTTGCCAAATCCACAGGCATGAAGAATTACTCCTATGTTTTCTTTCAAGAATTTTATGGTTTTAGCCCTTATATTTAATCCTTTGATACATTTTGTGTTAATTTTTGTATATGGTATGAGGTAGGGGTCCAACTTCATTCTCTTGCATATGGAAGTCCTGTTGTCCCAGCATCATCTGTTAAAGAGACTATTCCTTTCCCATTGATTGGACTTGAGACCCTTGTCAAAAATCAGTTAGCCATAAATGTATGGGTTTGTTTCTGAACTCTCAGTTCTATTCCATTGGTCTATAAGTCTGTCCTTCTGTCAGTCCACAGCATTTTGATTACTGTAGCTTTGTAGTGAGCTACGAAGTGTGGGTCCTTCCACTTTGTTCTTTTTTAAGATTTTTTTTTTTTGTCTACCTGGGCTGTATAAGTTTGCTAGTGCTGCCATACAGAATACCACAGACTTAAACGGAGATTTATTTTCTTACAGTTCTGGAGGCTAGAAGTCCAAGATGAAGATGTAAGCAGGTTTGATTTCTCCCGAGGCCTCTCTTCTTGCCTTGGAGCTGGCTGTCTTCTTGCTATGTCCTCACATGCTCTTAGCCCTGGTCTCTCTGTATCCAAATTTCCTCATCTAATAAGGACACCGGTCAGATTAGACTAGGGCCCACCCTAATGGACTCACTGTAACATAATTACCTCTTTAAAGGCCCTGTCTGCAAATACAGTCACATTCTGAGGTACTGGAGTTAAGGCTTCTGCATATGAATTTTGGGGAATACAGTTCAGCCTATTACATGGACTCCATGCACTGAATTTGAGAATCAGCTTTTCCATTTCTGCAAAAAAAGCCCACTGGAATTTTAATAGGAGTTGCTCTGAATTTTGTAGATGGCTTTGGGTAGTATTGACATCTCGACAGTATTAAGTCTTCCAGTCCATGAGCATGGGATCTCTTTCCACTTATTTAGATCTTCTTTAATTTCTTAGAGGAATATTTTGTAATTTTCAGGGAACAAGCCTTTCACTCCTTGCTTAAGTTTATTCCCAGGCATTTTATTCTTTTAGATTGTGCTGTTGTAGTATAATAAGAAATACATATTTGGTCTTTCTCCCCAGTTCTTGGCATAAAATCTTCTAAAACCCTTGGAATTTCCTGAGTATTATTCATAATAAGCCCCTTTCAACCATACCTGAGTTTATGCTAATGAGGTGACTCTTGGTGGGCTGTAGATCACTTCAGGATGGGGGCTAGTTGCTAGAGGAACCAACCATGTGAATAGAGGATTGGAACTTTTTAGCCCCACCCCCTGACCTCTGTGGAGGGGAGGGGGCTGGAAATTGAGTTAATCACCAATAGCCAATGATTTAATCCATCACGTCTACATATTTGAACCTCCATAAAAACTCTTAAGTGATGGGGTTTGGAGAGCTTCCAGGTTGGTGAATGTGTGCTGGGAGGGTGGCACATCCCAAACTCCTTGGGGACAGAAAATCCTGTGCTGAGGATCCTTCCAGACCTCACCCTATGTACCTCTTGGTCTGGCTGTTCATTTGTATCCTTTATAATAAACCAGTAATAGTAAAGTTTATCTCCAAGTTCTGTGAGCTGTTATAGCAAATTACTGAACCTGAGTTGGAGTCATGGGAACCCCCAGTTTGTAGCCAAATCAGACAGAAGTATGGGTAACCTGGGGACTCAAAAATTGTGACTAGCCTCTGAAGTAGGGGAATTGAGATTTTAATCTGTGGGGTCTGTGCTAACTCTGGGTAGTGAGTGTCAGAAGTGAAATAAGTTGTAGGGCACCCAGTTGGTGTCTACAGAGAACTGGCGAATTGCTTGGTGTGGAAAACCCACACATAGATATTATTGTAAATTGAATTGATTTCTCAGTTTTCTTTTCTAATTATTCATCACTGGTATATAGAAACAACTGATTTTTGCAATTTTGCTGAATTTGTTGATTCACTCTAGTAACTTTCTTGTACATTCCTTGGGATTTTCCATGTGTAGGATCATGTCACCTGCAGATAGTTTTACTTCTTCATTCCCAATTTGGATGCCTTTTATTTCTTTTCTTGTTTAATTGCTCTGCTAGAATTTCTAGTACAGTGTTAAATAGCAGTGGTGAAAGCAGGCATTCTTGTCTCATTCATGAAATTACAAGTAAAAAGCTTTCAATCTCTCATCGTGAAGCATAATGTTAGCTGTGGTTTTTTTCATAAATGCCCTTTATCATGTTGAGGAATCTTCCCTCTATTCCTAGTTTTTCTGAGAGTTTTTATAATGAAAGAGTGTTGGCTTTTGTAAATGCCTTTTCTGTATCAATTGAGATGACAGTATGTTGTTTTTTTCTTCTACTACTGTGATATATTACATTCATTTTTCTCTTATGTTGAACCCTTGCATTTCTATTATAAATTCCACTTTGTCATGGTATATAATCCTTTTAATGTGCTCAGTTTGGTTTGCTAGTATTTTGTTGAGGATCTTTGCATTGATATTCATAACGGATTGATTTGTAATTTTCTTTTTTGTGATGGTCTTAATATGGCTTTGGTATTAGGGAAATGCTGACCCCATAGAACGAGATGGAAAGTGTTCTCCTAGTTTATTTCTTTGAAGAGTTTGAGAAGGACTGGTGTTAATTGTTCTTTAAATTTTTGGTAGAATTTACCAGTGAATCCATATGGTCCTCAACTTTTCTTTGTTGGGAAATTTTTGATTACTGATTCAATGTTTTTACTTGTTATAGGTCTAGTGAGATTTTCTGTTTCTTCAGTCAATTTAGGTAATTTGTGTGTTTCTAGGAATTTGTCCGTTTCATCTAGGTTATCCAATTTTAGAACCCAAAGAAGGATTCCAGTTTTTTTGTTGTTGTTGTTTGTTATATTTATTTTTGGCTGTGTTGGGTCTTCGTTTCTGTGCAAGGGCTTTCTCCAGTTGCGGCAAGTGGGGGCCATTCTTCATCACGGTGCGCGGGCCTCTCACTGTCGCGGCCTCTCCTGTTGCGGAGCACAGGCTCCAGACGCGCAGGCTCAGTAGTTGTGTCTCACGGGCTTAGTTGCTCTGTGGTATGTGGGATCTTCCCAGACCAGGGCTCGAACCCGTGTCCCCTGCATTGGCAGGCAGATTGTTGACCACTGCGCCACCAGGGAAGCCCTCCAGTTTTTTCTTCTGTTAAACCTTGGCTATTAGGAGCTAGGGAGTGAGAAAATGTGTATGTATGCATGGATAGTTGAATATAAATATATAAAAATGTATTTTTATTTATAAAAGTGCAATTTGATTTAGGACTTCGACCTAACAAATTCA